ATAAATTTTCTTTTTTCTGCACCAGCTTTGATAAAATTTTAAATGGGATGAGAGTCACTAGACGGGGTTATGACCTTGTTTGGAAAACAGTCTTTGGCAGTTGGCTGTTTGTGTTGGATGGGTTGAATGACTGATTGAATTGGCTGTTTTGACTGGCAGATTGTATTAGTTGTTAGCGAAAAAACGTTTGGCAAACATAGCTGTTCACAAATAGCTGTTTATGATGTAAATTACATTTTTGGACATAGCTCATAATCTGTTAATTACGAAATAATATTTTATTATAATTAGTTAATTTTTTGGATTTTAATAAAAACAAACTCTATATATGAAAATAAATACTGAGCAAATATATTGCATAGCAATATACCAAAAAAAATCACCGAGAGCACATAGTTAGAGAAAAGAAAAAACCTGCTAGTTTGGCCAAATTTAAAAAAATAAATAAAAATAAACAAATAAAACAAATAAAAAAATAATTATCGAGAGTACATAATAAGAAAAAAAAGGAAAAAAGAAATTTGCTAGTTTTACAAAGTTTTCAAAAATAAAGAAAAATAGCATACAAAACTAATCTTACTCCCTATGTAAACCCTTTCTTAATACTCCATACATCAACTAAATAATAAACAAAATTTCATTAAGGGCATGAAAAAAAAAGGAAAAAGTGAACTGCTAAATCAAAATGCTACTCATCCCAGCATTTGGATTATTGGCGGTTCGATCCCATCCGCTAGGCAAAACAGCTATTTGCCAGACAATTAATTAAAGACCTACAATCAGCTGTTCTTGGTCAAACTGCTAAAAGCTAGCCGATCCGCCAATATCCAAACACGCCCTATAAGACATTTGAGATGGATTAATTTAAATGTTTAAATCTCATCAATTACTTAGTTTAACTCAAAAACTTATATACCTATTATTTTTTTTCTCACTTTTTGATATGGGATAATTTTCTCACCGGAAGTGAATTTTAGGATTGGGTAGGGATCACTAGACCTGACTATAAGATACTTGAGCTGAATCATATTAAAAAATTAAATCCAATTGAATATTTAGTTCAACATAAATATTTACGTACCCATTTTTTTTCTCACTTTTCCGATGTGAGATATTCTCTAGCAACTTTCGGTTACACTTTTTTTCTTTCTTTAACTTTTGTTTCAAGTCAAACATGCAAATGTAAAATCTTTAAAAATCAAACATGGGAGCTAATGATACACCATTTTTAATCGTTTAGACTTAGAGGTTTTATATATAAAATTTGAGAGTTGGGCTTCTGAAATTGCGACACGTGGCAGGTCTACTTGGCAATTTTTTTACAAATCATCCGCCACGTTTGATGACTTTGATAACATGGCAATTGTGACATGTGGCACACTTACTAGGCAACTTTTTGACATATCAGCACGCCATGTCATTAAGTAATATTTAAATATATAGTTAAAAAATATATATATATATTCTATGGAAATTAAGTTTTGTATTGGTTACACACAAATTCCTCAGCATAATCGTGTTTAAAAACTTTTTTATCTTAATTCATTGTTGGAAAATATTTAAGTTAAATAATATATTTTGAAATTCCAAAAAAGAAGTCATATTCAAAAACAATAATCAAAACAAATAAATTTATTCTAAGAACGGATAGATTGGTACGACTAATGGAAATTACATGTGAATATTTTTTTTATTACTTTGAATTAGTACTAATTGGAGAGATTTTCCCATTTTTGAAAAAAGAGAAATAAATATATAAAAGGAAAGAAATTTTTATAGGCATGTTTATTTAATAAAGCATTAATTTTATTTCGTATATATTAAAAGAATTTTAAGTCAAATAACAAGTATGTTCTATTTTAAAATTAGTATTGTCCATATTCAAATTATTATTTTCCATTACTAACTTTTTAAAAATTTATAAATTCATGTCACAAATTACTATTTTCCATTAATAACTTTTTAAAATGATAAAGACTTGGTACGAGGGTATTTATTTGTAAGAAATTAATTATTATTTCGTGTTCCTAATCGAAATATTTATGGTATACTAAATATATATAAAAGATTAGGTATAAATTCTTGGTAAATGAGTTGAACTATGACAAAGAAAAATATTCATTTGATCTTAGAGGATATTTATGTACAATTAATAAAGATCAGTGAAATACATCTAATAAAATAATGGAAGTCGTGACAACTGAAAGAGGAAGTTTTTTTGTGCATGGTTAGAGTGGAAGTGGAAAAATATTTCTCTAGAAATCATTGTCTGCTTTTCTAAGGTCAAATGGTAAGGTTATTTTGAATGTTGCATCCAAATGCATTGTAGCATTGCTTTCTCTTAGGAGAATGACAACATAGTCGAGATTTTTAATCCCTATGTCGCTAAATTCTTTAAGTTTTACTCATAGTTTTGATAAATGAAATTATAGGTGCTACCATCAATTCTTCACAAATATAGTTGAATTGTACTGCAAAGTTTATATGTTGACTAAGAACATGAGATTGCATTTATCTACACCCTCTTGCACATATAGGGACACATAAGTTTTTCTGATTGGATAATCAAAGTCGAAGATGGAAAACTTGGACAAGTGATCGGTGGAACTACTAACGTTGAAATCCCGACTGAATTATTGATTCTTGAAACAAGTTATCCCCTCAAGAGTATAATGAACTTTACTTATCTAAATCTATTAGAGAACATGAGAATTTTTTTAGGACAATGCACTAGTAACACCCATGCTCGAATCTGTTGAATAGTAAATGAATTTGTCATATCCCTTATTCGAGAAGGTGAAAATGAGTACTTAAGTTTTGATTCTTCATGCCAAGCAAATTTAGATGTAGTTGTTAAAAATGATTGTATAACAGTTGAGTTTTTTTTAATGAAATCAAATGTTTAGGGATGCCAAACCACAAAATATTATTTAAAAAGGGAGTACATTGAAGAACATTGACCAAACATCTGGATTGTGTAATGGTAAAAGATTAATCATTGAATAACTATAAAAGAACATTATCAGTGCAATTGAGGTTTCAAGAAATCGAAACTGGAAAATGGTTTACATACCCCGAAAAAATTTGGTATCATCCGATTCGGGAGTACCTCTGAAATTCTAAAGAAAAAAATTCTCAATACTTTTATGTTTTGGTATGACTATTAACAAAATTCAAAGTCAAACATTGTCTTTTACTGTATTATTTTTCACCAATTCGGTATTTATTCATGCTCAGCTTTATGTTACTCCTTCACGAGTAAAGGCAAAGACATGATTAAATATATTACTTCTAGATGTCAATGGAAACGCTTACAACCATACCAAAAATGTTGTGTACCCTGTTTGGAATAAAAACAATCGAGAACACATTCAATTTCCCAAATATAATTTATTCTACTTTGTCGTTGTTATCCATTAATTAAAAATCGTGTTAGAAATGTATTTACTTGAATCTAGAAACTATATTATGTTGAAAAATAATTTAGAGGGGTGTATTCAATTTAGTTTTCAAAAGATTTTAATGGATTGTTTAAAAATCATGAATTGTGTAAGATTCATAGATTATTTTCAATGTATGTAGAGTTAGATAGATTTTAGTGCATTTTATCACTTCAATTTCATATGATTTTGTTGGATTATGATTCATGAATAAAACCCAATCATTGCCCCAAAACAGTCCGAAACAGTCACAGCTTCGCGTCTCGTCTGGAAGAACTCATCAGATATTAATTGACCGAAATTACTTTTTTTACAGAGGAGATTTACAGGGCGTCTTGCAATTACGTATATATTGCCTTTTAAAACATATTTCTGTTTCTTAAATAAAGAAATGACTGGCATTGCCCAAATGCACAATTGTGCATATAAATTATTAGGAGAGATTTCAACCTCTAGGGTCTTAATTTTTAAATACCAGAAGCTGCTGGGAAACTTTAATTGTTTTGAATCTGGCCGGCAACGACATAGAAAACTAGGTTTTTTTTGCCAAGGTTGATTTTGATAGATGGAGAAGATGAAGGAGACGGGGCCTGCGTATTGGAAGAGCGGTGCGTGGAGTCAGCAAAATCTTTGCATTTGTTGTGAGATTTGGAATTAGATTTTAATTTGTATTCAAAGTCCCAAAATCCATGTTTTATAAAAATCTTTTAAAATCAACTAACTTTTGAATACTATTAGATTGAGAGAAAAATATACGGAGTATTTAATAGTATGAAGACCAGTAGTGCAATTCTAAAAGTTTGGAACAAACAAAAAGAGTGTGGGGTTTTGACATTAAAAAGTCAAAATATTTTTCACCCTGACAATAAGAGTGACAATTCACCCAGTTATGGTGCATTTGAAATAAATTCTTGAAAACAGTGATTTTGAATTTTAGTACTCCCTCCGTCCCGTTTGAAATCGTCTATTTTGACTTTTGGGCATATTTAATGAAAAGAAAAAATAAAATTGATTTTTCAAAATTGTCATTACTTTTTAGAAGGGGTGACTATAAATTAGAAGATAAAGTGAAGAGAAGTGACTTATTTCAGGTATAGTTTATGTATTTTATTTTTAAAAGTTTACGATAACAACTAACAGACAACTTATTTTGGGACAGAGAAAAAAGGCAAACAGACAATTTAAATTGGGACAGAGGGAGTAAGTATTTCCCGTACTTGTAAGCTGGTCAAAATTACATACAAATTAGTTTTAACGTACTAGATTAGCTTGACGTATTTCTCCGTGTCTCAAAACTGACTTATTAGTAAGAAAAACTAGTAATTTTTTACATTCTGAAAAGTTAGCATTGGACTAAGACATGAGTTCCCAAAAATGGGCTAAAATCCAAGCAAATCCAAGAAAGTCACATTGAATTTACACTTAAGTCTGATCATTCATACTCAATTGACATTATTTGGAAATAATAAATGGGTAATAAGAACACACTAATTGGAACTTGAAGATGTAAAATTTTCAACTTCCTAGCTGGCAACTTCCAATCACATTCAATGAAAAATTGAAATTCTGAAATAGGTAATGTAGACTTTAGTGGGCACCCAATTAATAGTTACACAATACATGGAAAAAGCCAAATGCAACACCAAGATGCATCACTTTCTCCAATCATACAATATTTGAAAAACAAAAAGAATAAGGTGACAAAAGAACAACCAGCCAATACATCAAATGATCAAAGTACAGTCAACAACTTATAACTATGTTTTCTCTCAAATAATAATTTTCTCACACATTTTACCGCTAAATATAAATAAATGCCAATGTGATTGGGGTTATGGTGTCGTCGTTGTTTGGTTGTTGGGCCCTTTCGACAGATCGTGTGTGTCATCACCTCTACCATTGATCTCCTCGATCATCCTCAGGACATCAAGAATGTCGGGTCTTTGGTTTGGGACCAAAGAAACACACGACATTCCCACCTGAAGTAGTTGTACCATCTCCTCTTCCACATTGTGATGGTACTGCATAAGCTCAACGTCGAAAACCTCAGCTGTCCATTCCTCCCTGACAACACTCTGAACCCATCTAGGCAAGTCCACCCCTTCTTCGGCTAATGAAGCCTGGTTTGGGGATTTTCCTGTTAGGAGCTCGAGTATCAATACTCCAAAGCTGTATATGTCGGACTTGAAAGTGGGTTTTCGGGTTTCAATGGTCTCGGGAGCACGGTAGCCTGCAACCCGAGGTGTGGAGGTGGTGGAGAAGAGATTGTTCAATCCAAAGTCTGAGAGACAGGCGGAGTTGTCTTGCTTGAGGAGGATGTTTGATGCTTTGATGTTGCCATGGATGACTTTGCCTGTGACATGCAAATATGCAATGCCTCTGGCTGTGCTTCGCGCTATGTTCATCCGGCTCTCCCAGTCTAGGGGTGTGCGACCCGACCCTCTGCTCCCTGCATACATATATTCACAGCCCTCTACATTTTAGTCCCACCAATAAACAAGCCCAGGCACTAGTGTTAGAGTGCAAAAACCTTTCCCGAGTCACAACCAAAAGCTTCCAAAAGTTCAAACTCTTGGTTAAGTCGGTTCCTTGACATGGTGTAAGAGCCAAGAGGTCACGATTTCAAACTCGTTAAACAAACAAAACTGCATCCGTTCATTCATCTCAAGGAAAGTGACATGAACTCACAACCCTTGGGCAAGTAAATCCCAAAATGGCAAAAGACAAGCGTATAAGTTAGAATGAGCTTCCAAATCTAGACGTTGAAACTCATGAATCAAGACACAAAACAACCAAAAACGTATGGGGAAAGAAGGAAAGTCAATGAAGATAGATTTACAAGCAAGCAGACAATTATGCCAAATTGGGCTGCTTAATTGAGATAAAAATGCAGATGTTTGTTAATAAAGGCATTCTTTTTCTACCTTCTTTTTAATCTTTGTGAATAAACAATGATAAAAGTGGAAAACATATTGGTGGTGAGTCATGATGATCCACATTGTTGGCCAATGTATTTCAAATCTAAAGTACAAATCCCACAAGGCGTTGTTCCCTTGACAACCTAAAAATATGGCATAAATTGAGGGATCAAATAATTCACAACAATATCCATAATCACACCTCTATATTCCATAATGCTTCCTTTTACCTCCCAAATTAAAAGTGACATCGTCGTCTCTAAGCACAGATGATTCTTGTTTGTTTATGTACAAAATTAAATGTGATTGTAAAAAACCGTAGTGGGTTCCTAGCATGACTCTAAAAAAAAACTACGTGAAATTGTACCCACCTACCGTACTTTTTTTTAATAAAAATAAATAAATATGGCAATTCCCACCACCGATTCTGGGAATAATTTAATTTCCGTGAGCTAGTGTATGTGTGAAACAAATTTGCAAGGCAAATGTGAAATGCAATGTCAATTATAGGAAGGGCTGTAGCTTTTTCTAAAAGTGAAAAAAAAAAGAACTCGGACAACCACGAAGAAAATAGATATTTGAAAAGTGAACATTGTAAAGAAAAATCCCCTTATCCTCATGCTCAATCACTCGCCTATAACTAAAAGAATAAATTACTTTTATCCCAAAGATTGTAACCCAAAATGTACACATATATTGACCCAAAATGTAAGTGCAAAATTTTGCAATTGCATTGTCATTTTGTGTCAATCTAAGTCATCAAAATATAAGTTTAAACTTTTAAAATACATTTTGGGATACAATCTTTGTAAGTGAAAATAGTACTAAAACATATTGCTTACATTTTTCCTAATGGTGGTACCCAACATTTTATTTTTTGAATAATACTTGAACAATGTCCAATGACGGTGGATATTTAATTGAATAACATCCAATTGCAGTTGACATTTACTATAACAATGTCCAATTAATATTAAATTGTGATACCATATCGAGAAATTAAAACATTTAGAAAAATTACAATGTTTTAGTATAACTAAAAAAAATCACAAATTTACACCTAACCAATACTCAATTTCAAAACAATAATTTCCATGTGTAAGCAAAAACAAAATTGGTTTGGGGTGGAGAAGAAATAGAAAAAGAAAAAGAAAAGAAGGGGAAGAATGAGAGAGAGAGAGGGAGAGATACCATGAAGAAGAGCAGACAAGCTACCAGCAGGCATGTAATCAGTGACCAACAATTTCTCATCTTTGGAGAAGTAAAAAGCTCTGAGAGGGAGCACGTTCTCGTCCTTCATCTTCCCCAGCTTCTCAATCTCCTCCTCGAACTCCCTCTTCCCCACCCCCACGTCTTTCAGCCTCTTCACCACCACCACCGTCCCCTCCTCCAGAACCGCCTTGTAGCTCGTCCCCACGCTCCCCTTCCCCAACACCTCCGCCGACGCCCTCAGCAGGTCCTCCAGATCGAATCTGTAACCCCCTCCCCCTCCGTTCACAAACACCAGCTTGTTCCTCTCCCCTTCCGCCGATCCCCCCGTCACGTCCTCCTTCGAGGCCGACGCCCCTGCGGATTCTCCCGCC